GACAAAGAGACCAGGGCAGTCATGCGCACCAACTTGCGCATTGAAGTCCAGGAGCCCGCCGAGAACTCAGGCCCAAAAAGGCATGTTTCGAGGCGCGTGACTTTTGAAAGCCCTAAGAAGGCAATTCTCCCTCAGAAGGAAACATTATCGTCTGATGACGATAATGTTATACCTGAGAAGTCGTGCCAACACATGATAGGTTACTCCGATCGTCAAACAGACGAGTTGTACAGGAGTCCCCAAGAACAGGAAACTCAGTGCCCCTGTTCCAAACTCATTCGGGCAGTATTGTCTGAATGCAGCTGCATCAAGGCGGTCCCCGAACGAGTTTCGGTTTTCGAGAGACTCAGTACTGAAACGCCGAAACCAAGGCCTAGGCGTTTCCGACGAAGAAGAACGGTGGTTGAAGAGGGAGAATTTCCGAGGGTCACCACCAACATGACCAGCAGAGGGACGTCGGCGCGAGACAATCTGGAATCGATTCTGAAAGCATCCCGGTCTAGAACCCGTCTGCAGTCCGGAACCATCAAGCGAACAACCTATGGTAGGGTTCGAACAAGGCTCCCTTCAGAAGATGAAGAATCTGATGCAGGCTCCGCAGTCGCATCAGATAATACGGTATCCAGCGAGGGACAACCCCGCGAGGCACTTATGATAAGTGCGGAGCAAGTGGCCAAAATGCTTGAAGACGCCTTAGCTAAGCAACAGGAAACCTTCAGGTTCGAAATGCAGATGGCCATGCAAAACATGAGAGAAATGCATGACCAACAAATCCAAGCATTGACGAACCAGCAAGGAGAGCCAAGTCGTCGCAACCAAGTTCATCAGGAGGACGAGGATACGAATGAAGCTCGTAACACTAATAATCCTCCCGTCAATGCAGGGGGTGGTAACGAGAATGCTAGCGAAAACACAGGTGAAAACTTGAAGATTAAAAATCTCGAGAGCAAAATCAACACGGGTGGACACCTTCGTCAAAAGGTTCCGGAACAAGGCGATGAACTGTCGGGACCCAATCACCGAGGAATTTATCCTCCAGACTTGCCACAACAACCTCGCACTAGACGTGTTGGAAGCAATGGGGACAACACCGTCCAAGACATGGAAGGATCTGAAGGTCCGAGGAGAGCAAGCAGAGCGATTCATCAGAAGAAAGAAGGCGGAGAGAGGCCAACAGGCGAATAATGCTCCGCAACATAATTTCGTCCCACGGGGGAAAGGTAAGGCACATGCTAATGCAGTTGATGCTAATCAAACCTTTCAATTGCAACCTCAGCAACAACAACAGCGACAGCAGCAACGAGCGCCACAACAATCGCAGTCACAATGGCAACAACGGCCTCAGAAGCAGAAGTCTTCAGAGCCTAGATTTCCCAAAGTGTACTCCTTCAAAGATGACGAAGTTCCCGGCATCTTTAAGTACTTGTTGGAGAATAACAAAATTCAGCTGCCAACGATTGTGGATCAAGAAGGAGCTAACAAAGTGACGGATCCGAGGTATTGTGCATACCACAGAGTGGTCCATCACCCTACGAAGTCATGCTATCACCACAAGGACAAGATCCAGGCGCTAATTGATGTAGGCGTCATAACCCCGAAGCCGTCCAAGAATATTGGAGCAAATTCGGTTTCAATCAGCTTTGGATCAGTGCCCACAGCGTGGTTTGAACCAAAACGCATCACCAAAGTAGGAATAAAAACAGTAAACGACGACCCGCATGGTGTAACATTCCAATTTTTTTTTCTCTTTCATTGATCGGATACCGTTACCGACACCAATCCATAAATTAGTAGATTTTTTTCTTTATTGCATCTCATATAATCTTCTAGTATGAGAATTTAACTTAGCTACTTCTCATATTGTGATCTAGTTAACTAAGTCATAGCATGCATACAAACTTAGCATGTAAACCTAAGTTAACCATGCTTTAAACCTTGATTAGAGATAACCAAATCATTAAATACCTAATGTAAAACTCTCAGTTGCATGTTGTTATTAAGGATGTTAAAACTAAATTATATAGTTAATTTAGATTTAGTCTTGCATGTAACATTTTAGGGCTTGCATGTCAATGTTATCTTGAAACTGAAATTTCGTGCAGAAATTTCCAGCAAGATACACTACCACTAAACAGATCATAACTTTCTTTGTATATATCCAAACGAAGACATTCTTTTTGTTCTAAAAACTAGACTTCCGTGGCTTTCATTTGAATCCCTGTTTGTTTAATTATGAGATCATTCACTTATTTGAAAGTATGGTTTAACTCAGTGCATGTGTCTGAAACTGTCTGCCTGAGTTATGTCATTTGTAAAGAGTATATATCTCAACATATACCATGCATGCATGAAATTCTTTCTGTTCTAGAAACTACATATTCGTGGCTTTCATTTGAGATCTTGTTTGTTTAATTCTAAGATCATTTACTAGTTTAAAAGTATGGTTTAACTCAGTGCATGTGTCTGAAACTGTCTGCTTGAGTCATGTCATTTGTAAAGAGTATATATCTCAACATATACCATGCATGCATGAAATTCTTTCTATTTCTAAAATTAGACTCAATTGTATTTCTGTTGATAGGAGTTTGAATTAATTTGAATAACGTTTGGTAGGCCTAAACCTAGTTCTAATAGCTAGCGTATGTGCTGGAAATTCCAGTCTACCCCCCTGTGTTGTTTTGCATTTAACATGCATTTAAAATGCAAAATTGATGAAACTCATGGGACATGGAAGCTAATCCATAATATTACTTACATACCAAGTATGAGCTCTTTGGGATATAGTTAAGTACCCGAAATAAATTATTCATCCCAAATGATGATCTCTGTTTTTCTGCAACAGTTTTGATATGTGTAGTTTTCTGAGAGCATGACTCTTACTATGCACTATGCATTGATGTAAAAGTTTTATATTCTGAAATTAGACTCATAATGGAGTCATTTGAGACTAGTTTCATGCATTTTGAACATCAATTGCTGTACCATCTATTCACCTAAATCTGCTGCATGTACACTACTTAGGTTGCTGTGCATATTAGAGATATTAGATGCAATCATCTAGGGTGTAGCTTATACCATGATATAAGTTTTAAGTTAAAGTTTTAAAAGACATAGTGTCTAGAATCTCATGTGGGTATACATGTATATATAGGACAGAGAATCTTGGATTCATTCGTTGGCCGAGAGGATCCCGACATAATCGGTAGGTAACCTTTCATTGTTTCCTCTCAAGTCTTTGAGAGTTCGATTGATTACTTTCTTGAAATTCCTGCGAGTTAGTTTCCCATGCTAATTGTATATCTTATCATTTTCATAATATTCCTATTTGATTCACCTCATGCATGGGCTCGTTGTTGATTGGTTAATCATTGCTATCCTAATGTTGTTTATTTCAGTTTTATACCTCCGATGTCCTTGAATGATTTCATTGCAACAATTCAAATTGATTCGATGGTTCAACTATTGATAATGATAGTATTCCTCTCTTCGTTGATGATTGATTGTCTATATTCATGGATTATGCCCTGTGTGAAGTAAGCTTCACCGGTGGGTGGTAATGTTATAGTGTCCCGGTGGGACAATGCCCTGTGTGAGGACGCTCACCGGTGGGTGTATAAAGGCATGCGCGGTTTATTGATTATCCCATGATTGGGGAGTTTGGAATCCTGAATATTAGACCTTGATTATTCATCTTTACATGTTATTTCACTTCGGTCAATGATTACGATATAAGAATGGCAACTTAATGTTGAGACCCCGTTGTTCAAGTTTGATATATATGTCTATCATTTTCATTCGTTCCCTTAGATTGTACCCGAGATTTTTTTATGGTTACCTATTGGGCCTTAGGCTCACCCCTATTGTTTGTGAATCCACTCGCAGGTCATACAGCTGGAAAGGATAAGGGCATTGCAGACCCTGAATTTGAAGATTAGCTCTAGAGGAAAATCTTAATAGGGGTTAATTTATGTTCACTTTTGCAGTACCTTTGACTTATAAAACATGTATTAATGTTGTAGCCACTGCTATTATTGTAATATTTTGTATTACCCTTTAGTTCTCTTCTATTTTGGTATTCAATGGACTCTGCTGTCAACCTCGTGATCTTGGGTATTGCATATGCATCTCCACTGCTTTATTTTTCGCCCTTCAGTATATCTATGTTGTGATGTGCATAAAGATTTAGCAGGTCGACCCTTCTTATTACAGATAGGTCATGCTCAAATTTTTATGTACCTCCCAGAGGAGGGGCGTTACACAGTGGTATCAGAGCACAGGTTGACACCTTAAGAGTCCTACATTGAAATACCTAGGGGACGTAGGGATCTTTCTGGTCGGTGTCAAACACCAGTCATGGAGGAATTATCTTTCCATGACATTCTTATGATATCTTGATCTCTATTAGGTTGGTTTTGTACCATTGGAGGCTGATAGATGACTTTTGGCAGGAATGGCAGATTCAGATTCGAGTGTTTCTGAGATGGAAGGATCCATTAGTAGCGGGGAGGTGTGGTCAACACTTTCAGAGGATTAGGAGATCAGCTCTGAGGAGATTGACCCAGAGGAGATTTTCGGGGAGAGAGTGGATTACTCCCTGATTGGCCATCATACCCGTGGGCGATTGGCAAAGAGGGACGAGGAGGAGGACCCGATAGAAGAGGATCCCGAGGAGGAGGACCCGATAAAGGAGGACCCCAAGGAGGAGGACCCGATAGAGGAGGACCGCGAGGAGGAGGACCCGATAGAGGAGGATCCCGAGGAGGAGGACCCAGAGGAGGACCCCGAGGATCCTATGGATGATGAGGAGCCTATGGAGTGGGAATTTGAGGTGGCACCAGAGCCTCTACTTGGTGAGATCCTAGAAGGAGTTCCTCCTGGTTGGGACCTTGACCTAGATGAGGAGGATTGGGCATGGGAGGATGAGCCGATGGTAGAGGATCCTGCAGAGGACGATGAGCAGGAGGAGATCAGCCTCGACGGTAGTGAACCACAGCCGACTGAGGCCTCTGATACGGAATCTACTTCTAGCAGCCCTTCCACCTCTTCCTAGAGGTTGACCCATTGGGTCACTAAGCTTAGGAATCTTATTACTTTTGGCTTTTGGGTGGACACCCAAGTGTGGTGTATTTTGGGACTGCATACTTTTTATCTATATATCAGATATAGATTATTGTACTTTTGTAGAACTCTTGTATGGATGAATAGGTGTATGTTAATATTATATCAATGAAAAGCTTTTGGAGAAATCAGTACTCTAAGTTGATTGTTGAAGTTCCTTATATATATTATGCGAGCAATGAAATATTTCTGAGTGAAGTCCTTTGAATAACCTGTGGAATCTGAACTTTTACTGCTACATTTTCATATAGATAATGGTGAGAACAAGAGCAAATCAGACCCAAAATGAGGAAGGACAACACCTGGAGAATATTGAAGAAGGATCTTCTGTTCCTATCGGAATAAGAAGGAATGCCAGCAAACGAATTAGCAGAGATCCTCGAGCAGCGTATCAATCCTAGAGGCAACCAACCAACACCTGCTATCTCAGCCCTAGAACAGTTTCGGAAGCTCACACCTCCATCTTTTTCGGGTACCACCGACCCTTTGGTGGCGGAGGATTGGATTTTACAAATGGAGAAGATTTTTACAGTCTTAAATTGTGCAGAGGAGCAAAAGGTGTCATTCGCCGCCTTTATGTTCAGAGGGGAAGCTGAACATTGGTGGAGGGCAACCTTAAGATTAGAAAGGGCTGCCCAGAGACAGATTGATTGGGATAGATTTGTGGAGCTTATGAATAAGAAATATATCCCGGAGAGTGTTAGGGATCAGTGGGCTATTGAATTTCAAGGTTTGCAACAAAATAACATGACGGTCCAAGAGTATGAGGCTAAGTTTACTCAACTATCAAGGTTTGCTCCACATTTGATCGCTGAAGAATCAGATAAGGCTAAGAAGTTTCAAAGGGGACTCAGGGGAAATATCAGAGGGAAACTAGTGGCCCTCAGAATCAGGAACTACGCAGAACTGGTGGAGACTGCGTTTGAAATTGAGAAAGACCTGCTAGAGTATCAGGAGATCCGTGTGCAGCAGAACCAAAGGAACCAAGGAAGAGTTTTTGCCCTGACAAGGAAGGATGCACAAGCATCACCATCTGTGGTGGAAGGTACAGTTCCCATATGTTCATTCACCGCTCATGCACTTTTCGACCCTGGATCTACACACTCTTTTGTATCACCTCACTTTGCTAGGAATTTTCCCAATTCACCGACACTATTAAGTAGTGAGATAATTGTGTCCACACCTATGGGTGGTAGTCTCCTAGCAACATATGTTTATGAGAATTGTGGAGTTTTAGTGAGTGATCATGTCATGAATGCAGACCTTGTATGCCTAGACATGTCAGATTTTGATGTTATCCTAGGAATGGATTGGTTAGCATCTCATCATGCAACTATAGACTGTTTGAGAAAACTGATAAAGTTTAAACCACAAGCGGAGGCGAGTTTTGTTTTCCAAGGGGAAAGTAGAAGACCACTCACGCACCTAATCTCATTTATGAAGGCTAATAAATTGTTGAGGCAAGGTTGTAGTGGATATTTAGCTTGTGTGATAAGTGACCAATTGAATGAGAAAAAGCTTTCAGATATACTTGTTGTAAGAGATTACCCGGATGTCTTTCCAGAAGATTTGCTAGGATTGCCTCCAGATCGGGAGATAGAGTTTGCCATAGACTTGGTCCCAGGGACCACTCCTATATCTAAAGCCCCTTATAGATTGGCGCCAGTTGAGATGAAGGAACTAAAGGAACAACTTCAAGAGTTATTGGATAAAGGATTCATTAGACCCAGCGTGTCTCCATGGGGAGCACCAGTCTTATTTGTGAAAAAGAAAGATGGGAGTATGAGACTCTGTATAGATTACAGAGAGTTGAATAAATTGACCATTAAGAATAAGTATCCACTCCCAAGGATAGATGATCTATTTGATCAGCTTCAAGGAGCTCAATATTTTTCCAAAATTGATTTAAGGTCAGGGTACCATCAGTTAAAGATTAAGCCTGAGGACGTAGCAAAAACAGCATTCAGGACTCGCTACGGTCACTATGAATTTTTAGTGATGCCTTTTGGACTGACTAATGCGCCGGCCGCATTCATGGATCTGATGAATCGGATATTCAAACAATATTTGGATCAATTTGTGGTAGTTTTCATTGATGACATATTGATCTATTCTAAGAGTTACCAAGAACATGAAGAACATTTGAAGATTGTATTGCAAATCCTAAGAGAGCAACAGCTATACGCAAAGTTTAAGAAGTGTGAATTTTGGCTAGAAAAGGTGATGTTTTTAGGCCATGTGATCACTAGAGATGGGATATCCGTGGATCCAGCGAAGGTTGAAGCTGTCGTGAACTGGCCGCGTCCCACCTCAGTGACTGAGATTCGTAGCTTTTTGGGACTAGCAGGATATTATAGAAGATTTGTTAAAGACTTTTCCCAATTAGCAGCCCCTTTAACTTATTTGACTCGTAAGAATGTCAAGTATAATTGGAGTGAGAATGCGAAGAGCATTTTCAGGAGTTGAAGAAACGGTTGGTAACTGCTCCCATCCTCACTATCCCTACGAGTTCAGATAAGTTTGTGATATATAGTGATGCATCTTCCAGAGGTTTAGGTTGTGTTCTAATGCAGAATGAGAAGGTAGTGGCTTATGCCTCCAGGCAATTGAGACCTCATGAGAAGAATTACCCCACTCATGATCTGGAATTGGCTGCTGTGATTTTTGCCCTGAAGATATGGAGACACTATCTATATGGGGTATCATGTGATATTTATACAGATCACAAGAGCCTAAAGTATATATTTACTCAGAAGGAGATTAACATGAGGCAAAGAAGGTGGTTGGAATTGCTGAAAGACTACGATGTAAATATTCTTTACCATCCAGGTAAAGTGAATGTAGTAGCAGATGCTCTCAGTCAGAAGAATCATATTGCATCAGCTTGTTTGCTAACTAAACAAGCCGAGTTAAGTAAGGAGCTTGAGAGAATGGAGATTGAAGTTAGAAAGTATTCTTCTGGAATGAAGATTTGTCAGATAAGCCTACAACCTACTCTGTTGGACCAAATCAAGGAGCGACAGAAGGAAGACAAGGAGCTATGTGAGATAAGGAAGAAGGTGGAACAAGGAAAATATTCAGACTTTAAGATTCAAGATGGTGTTTTGAAGATGGGTAATCGCCTTTGTGTACCCAATGATGGGGAGCTTAAGGATCAGATATTGAGAGAAGCTCACCAGACCCTATATGCTCTTCATCCGGGTAGCACCAAGATGTATCAGAACCTCCGACAAAACTTCTGGTGGAACCGCATGAAGGAGGAGATAGCTGAATTTGTATCAAAATGTTTAACATGCCAACAGGTGAAGATTGAACATCAGAAACCATCAGGACTATTACAACCTTTGCCCATTCCAGAATGGAAATGGGATCACATCACCATGGATTTTGTTACTGGACTACCCCGATCAACAAAAGGAGAGGATGCCATATGGGTGGTAGTTGACCGCCTGACCAAGTCAGCGCACTTCATACCCTACAAGATATCGTATACCATGGAAAAGCTGACCAACTTATACATTGAAGAGATCGTGAAGCTCCACGGGATTCCCATATCCATTGTATCAGATCGAGACCCCCGTTTCACCTCAAGATTTTGGAAGAGCCTACATCAAGCTTTGGGGACTAAACTGAAGTTCAGTACTTCAGCACATCCTCAAACTGATGGACAATCTGAGAGAACGATACAGACCCTGGAGGATATGCTGAGAGCTTGTACCTTAGATTTTGGAGGCAATTGGGCTACGCATTTGCCACTAATAGAGTTCGCCTACAATAATAGCTTTCATTCTAGCATTGGCATGGCACCTTATGAAGCCCTATATGGGAGGCGATGTAGATCCCCTATCTGTTAGGAAGAGACTGGTGATCGTCGACTACTTGGACCAGACGTAATCCAGGAGACGACTGAGAAGATCCAAACTATTCGGCAACATATGCAGATGGCCCAAAGTAGGCAAAAGAGCTATGCAGATCGTCGACGCAAGGACCTAAAATTCCAGGTTGGTGATAATGTGTTTCTAAAGGCTACACCAATGAAAGGAATAACAAGAGGTGGCAAGAAATGCAAACTCCGTCCGAGATACCTTGGGCCATTCGAAGTTTTGGAGAAGATCGGACCTGTAGCCTACCGGCTAGCCTTGCCCCCAGAATTGGAGAAGATTCATAACGTGTTCCACGTCTCAAACCTGAAAAAGTACGTACCAGACCCCAGACACATCATTTCGCACCAAGCCTTGCCCCTGCGGGAGGATCTATCTTATGAAGAACAACCGGTTCGAGTGCTAGGCTTTAAGGAGAAGCAGCTGAGAAACAAATCCATATTGCTGGTTAAAGTTTTATGGAATAATCGAAGCGTTGAGGAGGCAACATGGGAACTAGAATCTGAGATGCGAAAAACATATCCACATTTATTTTGAGGGTACGTAAAAATTTCGGGGACGAAATTTCCTTAAGGGGGGGAGTATGTAACATTCAAAAATTTTTTTTCCTTTCATTGACACCAATCCATAAATTAGTAGATTTTTTTCTTTATTGCATCTCATATAATCTTCTAGTATGAGAATTTAACTTAACTACTTCTCATATTGTGATCTAGTTAACTAAGTCATAACATGCATACAAACTTAGCATGTAAACCTAAGTTAACCATGCTTTAAACCTTGATTAGAGATAACCAAATTATTAAATACCTAATGTAAAACTCTCAGTTGCATGTTGTTATTAAGGATGTTAAAACTGAATTATATAGTTAATTTAGATTTAGTCTTGCATGTAACATTTTAGGGCTTGCATGTCAATGTTATCTTGAGTAATGTATCCGCAGTGAACGCTCTCATGCTCCTCCGTCAAGCGCCACGACATCTCCCGTGTCACAGTCTGACGCCGGAGCTCAGTCAACGAACGATGCCGAGGAATCTTCGGCAAATATAT